GCCTCCCTCCGTGACTGACATGCGTTTGATCTCCTCGGGCCCCAGTATCCCGAACTGCACCCTCCGGGGGTCGCGTACCGGTGCCTTCGAGTCGTTGGTTATAATGCCGGACATTATTATTATTATTATTCAATGAGTTATTCAATTAATTTAATAACTTTTAAATAATAACTTTGATTTGTTTTACACGCGTTTGTCACGTGACGCGTGAACTCCCGAGAAATGTGAACAATTTTTTTACGATAATTAACTTTTTTGTGTTTAAATTTTATTTATACATTTATTTAATAATTAATACATATGTGTTGGCAATGAACGCCACACACCATTAGTGTGAATAACATTTATATATACATATAGTTTGGTTTTTGGCACCGACAAAATTGTCTCGGATCATATACACACCACTCACTCACCACTGGTTTGCAAATTCAATATACAATTCGTAATTATTAGCGAAATTTACGCGAAATGTGTGTTTTTTGTTGTTTTAATTGCGAGAAACTATGAAAACAATTTGAATGCCATTTGTTTTTCTCGTTTATATTTTGTATGTCGTATTGGAAACGACTACAAATATGCGATAATAAAAATATATTGTATGAAAACTAATGATATCTACTCTCAGCGTTAGTTTGTTTTGTAATAAAAAGCAAATACTGTTATTCGCAGTAAAAGTATTAATACACAGAAAATTAGTGTTTTTTGCAGCACTAGTATGCAATGTCTGGTTTACCAGTGCCTCTATGGGTAGGTCTACTCGTATATATACCCGGCTGTTATCTAATAAATTATAATCGTCAGCATAACTACCACTTGATAGAGTGCCTGGCGATAAGAAATACATGACTTTCTGTACACATAACCAATGGTTGTTCACTATATCCGGTCGACTGTATAGTGAATAATACCAATACTTAAGACCAATAATTGAATTAATTTGCAAACCAATTGAAAATTTATTTCATATATAGTGTGCAAAAAGTTTTTAATTTAATTCAATCGAAATTAAGTTATACTGTATTTAATACTGAATAGGTATACATCACTAGTTGTCTAATTATAATGCAGTTATTCAGCAGTAACTGTATATAAAATTCATTGCTCAAGTAAACAGTATATTAATTATGTTTATTGCTTGGTAATTGCATTCAATATAATCATTTCCAATCACGCAATTGTCAAATTTAATCATTAAGTTACTAAAACGCAAAAATTTATTTATAAAACAAATCCTAATAATAAATAAAATAAAATTGAAAAATATGTGCAAATAATATGAGCGCCAAATTGAGTTTCAAATTCAAAATAATTTACTTTTTTTAATATGTATTTCAATAGTCTATTTCTAAAGCCTAATAGCGATAATCGTATGTAAAAATCAATAATTAATTTAAATATCGATCACTAATTCATTTCGTGGAGACAAACACAACGAAAACATAATTCAAGAAAACATTTTATACAATAAAATGAATTATTAAAAAGAGAAGTCATTTGAATCGCTAATCAATTGATGAATTGTTTCCAAACCTCAACCGAAAGAGCAATACTTTGTCGTCAGTTCTAAGAGTTTGGACACCAGTTGTTGATAATTGAGGTCGAAGTGAGACACTTGTGGTACTATTCCTACAATGAACGCCAAGTTCTTTCCCCGAATATTGTTTGGGGCTTTCGATGGCTGCCTCTCCTCGTCAGGCATTATCTGTTGGCAATCCATTCAGTCGTCAGTAATTGTTATAAGAATTTATTTGACACACAATTAGAGAGAGAGAGAGAGAGAGAGAGAGAGAGAGAGCAATGATTATAATAAATGAGAAAACAATTGGAATTACTTTTTCAACAGTATGTCTATGTATGAGGCCGTCGGCGCCCATAGAAAACACGGAGAAGCCGTCCGTCCATCTGAAACACAAACACAACAAATGAAAACCCAAACCAAAACAAAAACAACACAAAAAAACGTCAAACATTACTGCGAGTTGTCTTTCGACATACTGTTCCCGGGACTCCAGAACCTGTACTTCCAGAACATGAATATGACGCCTAAGCCGGGTGTGCCAACTATGCGCCACCGGACCCGCACCGTCATGTCCTCCGGGTGTTCCGTAATCTTGAGCACATTCAACGATTTGCTGCTATACTTGAGGTGCGCCCAGATCTTGATGAACGCAATCTGTTTGATGTATGCGTTCAGACCCATTGTCTTCACGTGTCTGATGTTGTCCTCGAAGACCACGTGCGGGGAGTATACGTGGAAACAGTGCTGAGTCACGAAGAACCTGGGCAACTGGCGGGCCAGACATACCGGTGCCCCACAATACAGGCAAATAAAGTGTTCATTAGTATGTGATTACAAGTGGTGTGTATGACATACCGGTGCCGGTTATAGTCACACAGAATTACATATCATATGTTTTGTACGGGTATTACATTAGACAGAATATTCTGTACATAAATAGTGCTAAAAATAAATTAATTTTCTGACAGAATATTCCGCAAAACTAGTAATCATTTGGTGTATAAAAAGGCTATACTTTACAAAAAAAAGTGTGAAAACAATGAAAACACAAAAATGCTTTTTTTTCATTTCGGTGTCAAACGCTATGCTAATGGGACGGACACACTATGATGTAACCAAAGGCTTGCGTTACGTCACCCGCCTGTCACCTACCGTTCCCATACATACCGGCCCCCACAACACCCCTGTGCACATCAATTATACGTACCGATGCCGACAGTTGCTGGTATACATTGTGCAAACGATCCCGGTCATTGGACGGCTATATTGGGTAACAAATAAAAAGTATATTAATAGTAATATAGCAAAAATGATAATATAGTGAACAGGGTAATTGTAGGGTCAGTTATCAATGGTATATAGAGCGAAGTGGTGAGGGTGTCGAGCACCGGGTGATGAATACCTGGCTATTATTCGCGGTATTACTGGTGTTAGTGTTGGTGGTGTGAGTGGACAGTCGTCTGGTGGTCAACAGTGGCCTAACTCTAGTGCTGTGTATTGAATGGGAAATGAGCGCTACTTTTGTGGCAAACATTTGGCCCCAAATTGCGGTCAAAAACACTCGTGTCTTATGTCTTATGAATGGCTTTTCCGCACAAATGACAGCCTTTTCCGCAAAACTAGTCATTCATTGAAAAGCGAAACACACTTTGGATTCAAGTTTTGTGTTTATG